CCTTCCTTGTCCTGAGCCTGACCTAACGTTCGGGACAAGTCAGCTTTCAGACAGATATTTCTCACTATTCTTCTTCAAGACCACATGAATATATCAAACCATTAAATCCATATTCATTTGTGTGAGTTTTGGTTTAAAGCTGATAACGAATGATAAGTTTGTGAGCTTGGAGCATAGAGTTTTGGCTAACAGAGGTGACGAGCCTCGCATTTCGATAGCGTCTTTCTTTGTGCATCCTTTACTGAGTTTTCGAGAATATGGACCGATGAAAGAGCTTTTGTCTGAACAAAATCCTCCCAAGTATAGAGACACTACACCGTCACTGAGTACACGAACCATTACATGACCAGAGGACTTGATGGGAACTCTGTGTTGCATAGATTCAAGATCTGATCAAAGCTTTGGGCTTACATATCCAAAGTCTTCTAGGCTATTTCAAATCAATATGTAGCATGGTTTAAACCTGCCTTGCCCAGGACTATATATTCCAGTTGATACGAGGAGCTTGGACAGGTAGCTATGATGAGTCCATCTCGCATATTGTCACTACTGATCCATGCAAGAAATTGTTGCTTGTATGATATACATATCCGTTTTGTTAGTAGTATTTTGATTGTTTCTAGATCATTTGTCAAACGTGAGATTGTATAATGTTTTATCGACGAGGTTATAAGTGAAGCTCTAATGTTTTATCATGAAGTCACTGAAGACACTGTCTGCGCGGATTTACAAGATGAGGAGATTTAAGTGAAGACTGTTGCTCAATAATGTTGTAAGTTACATGATAAATTATTGTCTAGTAAAAAAAAACAGAATAAAACATGTTCTACAAGGTGATGCAAGCAGCAAGTTTCATTATAATCCCATCTGTATCCATATTTATAAGATCTTCTACGATTATATATAATTTCTAAATTCTGTAAATCTTTTCTAGACCTTCCAAACCATATAAACCTATAATTAGAATAAGCTGTTGTTTTTAAAAAAAATTGTAAGACCTTTCAGAGCTTTACAACTTTTTTAAGACTTCCCAAAACATCACAAACTCACTGTTCCTTTATTTTAGAGTCATATAAAACCTTATAAACCATATGTTTTGATCAAAATAACACCATGTATTCATGTTATTTATTTCATATAATTATATAAACGACATAAAATCATATATAATTTTATAAAGTCGTATGTTGTAGTAAAAATATCATAATCTATATCCAATACATCGTTATAAAAATTATATTTTTGGTCAAAATCCTATAAAATCGTACAAATGCTGAGTTTTAAAAATCGTATAAATTTTGATTTTTTATTGTATTTTAAAAAACCTTATAAATTCTACCTTTTAAGCATTTAAGCTCTTATAAAATCTATATAATTTTATGAATTGAAGTCAAACAGAGGCGGCAGAAGATTTATGATGAACAAAAATAAAGAGAAGAAGAAAAATCTCAACGAAATCTCTCTCTAAATTCATCTCTTTTTTTTCTTGTTTTCAGATTTTTCTGTATTTAATTCATTCTGTCATATTGTATATATATGGAAAATAATAAAATACTTTTTCAATTTTATTTACATAAATTTAACTACTAATATTATTTAACATAATTATGTACAAACGGTAGTTAAATTAATAATTATAAATAAATAAAAATATTTTAGAAAATTATATTAATTTAACATCAATTAATAATAAATAATTATATAATTAAAATCAATCATGTTAGTCGATGTCAATATTTAGATCATTTGAAAAACTGATGTAATATTACTATCAGTTTTACAATTGATACCTATTAACATCATTTAGAATAAGTGATGAAAATATTTGATATTCTTACATCAGTTTTGAACAAAATGATACAAAATATTTGCATCACCAAAAAGTAAGTCATTTATTTAAATGATGTAAAATATTTTTACATCATGTATAAGTGATACAAACGTATAAAATAAATGATTTAAACTAAGCTTTTTTTTTGTAGTGATTAAAGTATCCCTTGCAATTTAAAAAATCATTTAAGAATTTCAAAGTTTCACATAAATATTTAAATTATTTTAAAACATTCAAATTAAAGTGTTTAACATTATGGTACAAACACTGAATATTACAAGTATTTTTTGACTGTATAAAACCTTTCAGAATCGTATAAACCATTTAGAATATTTGGAAATCATTTGATATAGTTATATAAAATCAAATAAAAATGTGTATAATTCGTAATATGTTCAAAAATCATTTGAATATTTATGATTTCTAATTTGATTTATTGGGTAATTTCGGTTTTGGTTTTAGGTTATAGTAACATCTAACATGCTATATAGAGAAGGAATAAAATGTTGTGAGAGGTTCCCATTTACACAACATAGTCATTAACTTCACGGTCAAAATGGTATCAAAGTTGGACGGTGGAGGACGGCTATAAGAGGGCACAGAGACATAAATTTAGAGTTGAAATATATGAGCTTATGAACACAAAAAAATGTGAGATCACGACCCTTGATAGTTCATACCATAGCGACCTTTTGAATATATAAATTTATGATTTATGAGAGATATATAAAGCTTTGAAAGCTACTACATTAATTAAACACGCAATGGAATTTCAAAACTGGTCCTGAACAACGTCTGATGAAGCATTTTGCACAAGGCCGTATATTAATTTTAAAACCTTTTTTTTCTTTTTTGAAAATATACAATAATATGCGGTTTTGAAAACTTGATGTTACCATAATCTTTATATATTTATTTATTATTTTTTTCTAGAAATACTTAAAAGAATAATTAGTTTTCTAGAGAGAAGTTAGAGAGAGATAGGAAGAAAGAAGAGGAGAGAGGATAGGATTTTAGTTAGTTAGTTAATTTTGGTTTTTTTCATAGTCACTAGGTGCAATTTTCCATACTTATACTATGGAAAAAAAGAAAAAAAAAAGAGAGAAATAGTACAATTATTGTATAAACGACGAGGAACCTCTACTTTTGTTTTCTTTAGTAAAAGGTACCAAGTTTTTTAGGACCAGCACTAGCTGAATTCAAGCACGATATATCACATAATTCTGTGATTCACATGGGCTACGACGTAAACATCAACCAAAAAGTTGAGCAAAAAATGTAAATATTTCAACTTTTGTTCACACATCAAATGCATTTATCTTTGTTCACACACCAAATACATTTATGTTGTTATATATACGGAGAGTGTCACAAAGCTCTGATACAGCAATAAATACATAACACACCACTCACAAGTTTGTCTCTTCCTCAGTTTCTTGTATTTTTTTAAGTAATACTAAGAGAGACACAATGGCGGAAACATACGACCGTGTGGGTGAGGTCAAAGCATTTGACGAGATGAAAATCGGTGTCAAGGGTCTAGTCGACGCTGGAATCACACAAATTCCCCGCATTTTCCATCACCCTCCACATGTCACCGTAACAAACCCTACTAAACCCTCCTCGACCGTGGTGATGATTCCAACGATCGATCTTGGAGGTGGCACGTTCGAGTCCACGGTTACACGAGAGAGTGTGGTTGTGAAAGTGAGAGAAGCGGTTGAGAAGTTTGGGTTCTTCCAGGTGATTAACCATGGGATTCCAGTTGATGTTATGGAGAAGATGAAAGATGGGATTCGTGGGTTTCATGAGCAAGATGCAGATGTGAAGAAAGGGTTTTATAGCCGAGATATCACCAAGAAGGTTAAGTATAACACTAACTTTGATCTCTATAGCTCTCAAGCTGCGAACTGGAGAGATACTTTAACCACGGTTATGGCTCCTGATGTGCCTCACGCTGAGGACTTGCCAAAGATTTGTGGGTACGTACTAGTAACAACAATTATAGCTCCATGCATACATATAGTAATAATTATAAAAGTACTATTTCAGTCTAACCAAGTTTTTTGAAATACAAAAATATCTTGGAATATAAGTACATTTTATTTACAAAAGAGTTTGCTAATAACTAATACCAAAGAGGCAAAAAAGTTGTTATCCAAAGTACTTTGACTAATGTGGAAATGTAATTTTGAAAATTCATTTCAAAAAATAAAAGAAAAGAAAGAAAGTTCATTTCTAGTTGTGATTGAATTAATTAATATACGTGGTGGTAATTACTATTTCAGGAATATCATGTTGGAGTACTCAAAGCAAATGATGAAGTTAGGAGAACTAATCTTTGAGCTTTTATCAGAAGCTCTTGGTTTAAAACCTAACCACCTCAAAGAACTGGACTGCGCAAAGAGCTTGTCATTGCTCTCTCATTACTACCCGCCTTGTCCTGAGCCTGACCGAACCTTTGGCATAAGTTCACACACCGATATATCTTTCATCACCATTCTTCTTCAAGACCACATTGGAGGACTTCAAGTTCTCCATGATGGATGCTGGATCGATGTTCCTCCTAATCCAAAAGCTCTTATCGTTAACCTCGGAGATCTCTTACAGGCAAACTATATATCACTTCATTCTTGATTAGTTTTTCTTAACAGCAACCCATGTTTTGCTAGATTTTAATATATGAATGTGTTGTGGTTTTTTCTTGCAGCTTATAAGCAACGATAAGTTTGTCAGTGTGGAGCATAGGGTTTTGGCGAACAGAAGCGAAGAACCGCGCATTTCGATCGCATCTTTCTTCATGCACACCATACCAAATGAGCAAGTATATGGTCCCATCAAAGAGCTTGTTTCTAAACAGAACCCTCCCAAGTACAGAGAGACCACCACTACCGAAATGGCGAAGCATTACTTGGCTAGAGGACTAGATGGAGCCTCTCCTTTGCTCCATTTCAGGATCTGAATAGTAAAAGATGGACCCAAATGTCCATACGTTTCACTAAATTTTCTTTTGTCTAAAATAAAATCACATGGATACATGTGATATATAGTATGTCTGTTTTCACATTCGGTCTTATCATATTACCTATAGACTTAAGAAGAATCAATATCTTAAAAGTTAAAACGTTACCATTTTGTAGTTCTTGTGTTGAGATATATGATGTGTTTGTTTATGTCTTGCGATTCGGAGACAGAGTTAGACCGCTTGTCTCAGTCGCATTTTTAAAAGATGTTCCCTCTAACAGAATCAACCTAACGTACGGATCAAATGTAGAAGACAGAATCTCTACGTAATGAATAAAATAAGAATCTAAAATAGGAAGAATGACACTGCCTCTATTATCATGTGAATGTAATAGAAGTGATATGAACTAACGTGTATAGTTCGCTATATAGATTCTTCTATGTATCATATTACTCATGAGTTATGATAACTGTTCTGTACGTAAGCCAATACTGCCTCCACACTCAATAGACTACACGATGAATCAGAAGGAAACGATTGATGTGGATTGCGCTGGATGATGCAGCTGTGATATAGCTGTGTCTCTTTCAGCCTCGTCCGTTCTTTCAAGTTTTCTGCAGAAGCAACATGTTTATGCATCATCGGTTAGTTACTACTTAGTACTTACTATTATCATTACAGCACAAAATGGTTTCAGTTCGGATTGCTTGTGTATAGCAATCATAGTAATAAGAGAAGGTGAAGAATGTACCTTGATGGGATGAAACCTTGGCAACCTTCTTCTGAAAGTGCTTTCTCTAATCTCTCCTCGAAAGATGTTGCGTGCCAGCTCACTATCTGATCCTGGATTGAGATGAGTAACTCCCATGAGTATCATAAATGAAAAGAAGAAGTGAAGAAGCCTTGAGATTAAGCAGTAGAATAATACCTCTTTGTACTTGTTTGTAGAGTTTGGTATCCCATTACCATCCCACCATTTGGGTGAGATTTGAGACTGCTCTTTCTCGTTCCAGTGAGCAGCAGCCGCTCCAATGATAGGCCTGTCCCCATAAGTAAGGGTGGATACTGCCGTCTTGTTTTGGCTACTCTTCTCTGAACTCTCTTCCAACTTTCCCTCACAAGTTACTGATAAGGGAGATTCAGTTTCTTTCTTCTCTTTGCAAGCCTGCACTTTGGTTTGCTCTAGGCTCTCATCCGAATCTTCAGGGAGCTTATATATGGAGGCGTTTTCAGTAAGATTGGAGGCTGAATGCACAAACTGCGACCTGATTCTTGGTCTCCCTCTAAATGCTGATTCCATATTTGAAGGAATCATGGTTCCAGCCTTCTCTGGTATTTTTGAAGTGCTGTTTTTGGAAGCGCTAGGAGAGAAAGATTGATCAAAATCACCTTCGAGCCTCACTGATTCCATCTTTCCCGTAATGTTTCTCGCTGTGAATGGCGCCTTGCTGGATCTGTCCACCGCATCCCTGAACTCAGTACCAACGCTTTCTTGGCTTTCTTCACCAGCATCGCTATATCCAGTGTAAACCCTTGCACTGTTATGGGCATCTGTCATGCAGCTGATATTGACAAAAGAAGAAAAAAGGTAAAGTTCCAGATGCATGAAACCTCTAGAACTTCTTGCATGAAATTAAAATGGTGTTAGGATATATGAAGTCATGCCAAAGAGATATTATTGCTAGCAAAAGTAGCACTCTACCTGCTAGGAGTTTGCTCTGAAACCTCTTTACAGGCTTCATCTGTTTTCTCACCCAACTGAAAGACTGCATCAGGGTTACCGGAGATCCAAGAATGAAACTGGGAAGATGTAAACTGTTCTCCACGTTGAGGAGTTTCAAGTTTTTCGGATGCTTTCCTGATTTCAATCGGTGTTGCTGAAGCTTTAAGAAGCTGAGCCTGTAATTCCAGAGGTAGCAAGAGGGGGTTATTGTTTTCATTTTGAAGGAAACCAGCAATCACAATCGATTGATACATGCAAAAAAACAAAGATTCTCGCCAGGGTCTATCAAGATTTTCTAACAGGAGGAGGGAAAGTCACACAAAGGTTGAAGAAATTTTCTTAAGGGCGCATATATGATAGATAAGCTACATTCATCAAAACCAGCATATGTTTCTATACAAAGAATTGAGGTTCTAAACATCAACACCTAAGCGACATGAAAAAAATAATCAATCTCAACGTAAGAGGCAAAGGGTGTGAGAAGCAGAAGGCATTCCTGATAATAAAACAAGGCCACTTGAATAACATAATACATAGAGCACACGCACACTAGTAATCATTTTCACAAACAAAAGCAAGTTGTACATAGGAAGCAAAATGGAGATGAAGTATCTCTTAGCAGTTACGCAGTGATAGATAAAACATGGACGCTAACATTGACTTGAATCATTCAACAAGGCAGCCAGAGGATTGAGCTCAAGTATCACGAAGCAAAGCAAGCAAAAGAATGAACATGAAGAAGTGACTAAAACAAACATAATCATAGTCTCCAAACAATTAAAGGCTTAGCTCCAGAATCCAAGTAAAGTCGGAAAGTGCTAACATGGAAGCTAACATTGACTTGAATCATTCAACAAGGCAGAGGATTGAGCTCAAGTATCACGAAGCAAGCAAGCAAAAGAATGAACATGAAGTGACTCAAACAAACAAACATAATCATCAAGGCTTAACTCCAGAATCCAAGTAAAGTCGGAAAGTTCAACACATGGAAGCTAACATTTAATTAAAATCTTAGGGTTCGGAATTGATATGAAGATACCTCATTCTTGAGAACTTGGTCAATATGTATAGAATCCAACAAACCAGATCCTTCTCTGTGATGATGAAAAGGCGAAGAATCTGCTTTCTCTAGAGAAAGGAAGAAACAATAGTAAGACCTTATTCTTTTCGAATCATAAGTATTAAGAGATTTGAATACTGTTACCTTGAGAGAGAAACAAAGCTGATAAACGATTCTTGGAGTCATGGACTCTCTGTAACCACCATGTAAAAAAAGTTAGCAAAAATCCAGCTCAAAGTAGACTAAACAATGAACATTTCACAATCGATTTCAGAATTGTAACGGCTAATTCAAAATTCAAAGAAGCGTAAGAGAGGGGGTTACATTGGAGTTGACACCGGGAGGTTGAGAGAGGGGATGGTTGATGGAAGATCGATCAGCTTTGGCACGACGGAAGCAACGGAAGAGACAACCCATTGGCTCCTCGATTGAAATCGAATAGAGATCTTTTATTTATCTGTTGATTTTGAATTATATTCAGATGGAGGAGGAGGAAGCAAGCTAGTGAGATTTTTATTGAGTGAGAGAAGGGTTTGGTGGGTCAGAGTTGTTTCCTTTTTTGTTTTTTTCAAATTTGAACTCTTACGAGGGAATCATCAAATCACCTCTGTGTTTGTGTGAGCTCAGCCATTTTAAAATGGCAAGTCTTTTCACTCGCGGGCGCGTTTCCATTAAACGTGGTTCAATCTCGTTCGTCCGTATAATCTTTTTTTCCTTAATAGTAATCTCGTAATCCTGTCAAACCTGTAACCACATTTATTTTCGTCACTCGATTCAGGAAAAATCGTTTTTTTTTTAACATTAAATGTTATTAAAATATAAAATTTAGTATTGATAAATTTAAAATTTAGTATTGACAAATTTAAAATTTAGATATGATTTTTTGTATGTATTTGGAATTTTATATATAATTATCTATACGTAGGACCATAAATAATTGTTATTAAAATTGTAGATCAAAACTTAGAATTTAATGGATCCGGTTCATATATTTTTTCACTTTTCACTGTTTGAGTGATGAAAAATAAAGGGAGTGTAACAAAGCTTAATTGATAGAACATTACCAAGTTAGTTAATGGGGGTGATTGGTTGAACTGTAGATTTAAAAACTTTACTGTAGAATTTAAACTATGGATGTTTTTGATGTAGTTGTATCTAATGTAGCTTAGAAATTAAATAAAAAGAAATATAAAAAGAAAGATATTTCTACAACAATCCTACATCAATAATTTTTTGCTTTAGAAAATAGGGTTCCTACAACTACTTTTCCATTTTTTTTGACTTTAGCTTTAAAAACTACTTAAAGTATGATTGGTGATTTAAATGGTTGTAGATAGAAATTAAAGCTAAAGTCATTACATACAACCCAACCAATCACCCTCAATGTTTTTTTTTAAAAAGCATTTGGTAGAATATCTATACTATTATATAAGAAATTTTTTTGCTTAGTTGTCAACTTCTCCTTGATTTTAGGTAAATTTGTTTATTTACCTTATTTAAATAATTTCATATATAATTTATTATTTAGCGAAAACAAATTTATATTAATAATATTATATTTTAGAAAATATGATAATTATTTTGTATTAAATTTTTATCTTAAAGGTATATTTTCTATTATAAAATTCAAGTGAATTTACTGATTGATTTGTAACTTCTCCACGATTTCTGTAATTTTGCTTATTTATTATATTTTTAATAATTTTATGAATAATTTATCATATGATAAAAACGAATTTCTATTAATAATATTATACTTTTATAAAATAAGATAATTCTTATGTGTTATATTGTTATCCTTAAAATATATTTTTATCATAGAAATTAAAAATTAAGTTAAAATATTAATACTTAAATAGAAAGAAAGCATAGAAAACTACCACATAAGATGAAATTTATTTTAATTAATATAAACTTAAGATTATAAAATTTTAAATGATTTTTAATTAATATATAGAGGATTGCAAACTATGAGAAGAACCAGAAAAAATCGTTTGTTTTCTTAACAAGAAAATTTGAGCAAAATAAAACTCTTTTTGATTTTATCTTCTTTTTTTTTTTGGGTGCTGCTAATGGGCCTTTAGAAGAATCAGCTGAAGGCCTGAAGCATATTCCCAAGTTTTACAGCATCATATCTCTGCCCCCATTGCCAAACAACGATTTCTTCTCTTAATTTTATAAAAATATTAATTTCCATAAAAAGAAGAACAAAAGAGGAGAAGGCGGTTTATAATGCAATCAATCAAAATCAATCAAACTCTCTGGTAAGGGCACAAAAGAGAAGAAAACTCAATCGAACAAAACTACAAACTTACTCCTTCCCTGACAGAGAAACAATAAACAAACGATGGGGAACAACAAGCGGTTCAGGTCTGAAAATGCAGCAGGGAAGCCAAGCTCCGTGGAAGCTACTAGGATCTGGGCTTCTAAGGTCATCGAAGACTTTCGAGCCTCCGACAACGAAGGTAACACTCTTCTTTCGAACCGATTCTCTCTGCAACTGATTCACGCTGTCTTTGATCTTTGATTAGATTAAAATTAATCTCTAATTGCAAATGTCTTATTACTCTGTTCCATTGAAATTCACTTCCTGTTTTTTGGGTGTAGTTTACACGTTTGAGCACAATCTTTCAAACACCGAACGTGGCGTGATTCATCAGATGTGTCGTAAAATGGGCATTCAATCCAAAAGCTCCGGGTAAGAGAGTTCATTTCTACTTTAAATGTGTTTTTGGGGTTTAATAAGAAGAAAAGTATACATTTTTATTTTATTTTATAGGCGTGGGGATCAAAGGCGTCTTTCTATATTTAAAAGCATGTACAGAAATGGAAAGCGCAAGGATGGTAAGGAGAAATCAAACAGGGAGAAGCTCAGATGCGTCTCGTTTCCTCCCGAGGCTGATGCTATTATCCAGGAGTTGTTTACTTATTATCCACCTTGTGATGGAGATACTGCTGCAACGTCGTTTAATAAGTATTTAGGCCACTCTGGTAAACAAGGGCAGTGGAAAGATGATTTTTTTAGGAGGCCACAGATGAGTGGTGATGAGATTTTGGACAAGGTTGCGTCTTTGAGTTCTAGGTTGAGGAATGATAGAGCTCTTCAGGAGGTTAGGAGTACTCAGTTATTTTGTCCAGAATACAGATTGAGAAAGTGAAAGGAAACTGTTTTTTATTGGTTTATATTACAGATCTCTAAGCTGCGGTCAAGGCTTCCCATCACATCTTTCAGAGACGCTATCACATCTGCAGTGGAATCCAACCAGGTTCTGTGATATGTTCTTCTATATCAGAAATTGCTTCCACTCTGCATGAAAAAGATTCATTATAAAAGTTTTGTTCTAAAATGCAGGTTATTCTCATTTCTGGTGAAACTGGTTGCGGGAAAACCACTCAGGTGTTTGTTACTCCTTGTGTTTCTCTCTAATTAGGTAGAATCATCTCCAAAATTAGTTAGTTATTGGTCCCTTGGATTTGAGGGTCAGGCTGTCAGTTTTCTAGTCCACGGCTACATACTTACGCAACTTGACTCTTTTAAAGTGTGTTATGTTATAAGGTTTTTCTGAATATGAGCCTACGATGTGTTTAGGCCATGTAAAGAGTTTTCTATCTGAAGCTTTCCTCGATATTTTAAATTTGAGGATTCTCAAACTATTGTTAATGTTTTAGGTGCCTCAATATCTTTTAGACCATATGTGGTCTAGCAAAAGAGAAACTTGCAAAATTGTGTGCACCCAACCACGTCGTATCTCCGCAATGTCAGGTTGATATTTTTTCTTATTCAGCTATGTATGCTCTTTTTAAATTTCTGGGTTTGATTCACATGTATGGTGTGTACTGAAAACCTCTTGCTTAATGTTTTTCCATCCCTATTTTGTAGTTTCTGAAAGAATATCCTGTGAAAGAGGTGAAAGCATTGGAGACAACATTGGTTACAAGGTTAGTAATCTTTGTAGGTAGACACTTCCGTTTTGTACATGAAAGGTGGGTGTGTTTCAATATTAAAGAGAAGTGTCTCATTGACTTTATGTTGCAATTTCAGGTTCGACTGCAGAGCAAAGGTGGAAAGCACTCGTCAGTTGTTTTCTGCACCAATGGCATTCTCCTGAGGGTGCTTGTAGGAAAAGGCTCTGGTAGCTATGTTTCCGACATAACTCATATTATTGTGGTACTTGACGTCTTCTTTTTTCATCCACTAATATGTGTCCATTAAGTATGTGTTTTCATATCTATATGCTGCTGTTCGTCGGACAATTAAATTGCTTGAAGAAATAATGAAATTGTGAACTGTCACTGTGGCATGCCTTCTTGTTATTGTTTGTCATCTCAGATTCTCCAATTTCCCCTTGCTGTTTATGTGGCTGTCTACATTAATCAGTGTACCTGAATGTTACTTTGTAGGATGAAATCCATGAAAGGGATTGCTACTCCGATTTTGTGTTGGCAATTATAAGGTAGCCCATAGCCTTTTCAAACTATCAATTAAATCAATTCTACTGACTTAAGAAACTGATGTTAAGGCTATTGTTCAATTTTTTCCCTTCAATGTTATTCATATGCCATACTGGTGCACATGTATCTCTGAAGCTGCAAGCCATGATAGAAGATACGATTGATTTTCTTTTCAATGTTTTTTTCCCCTAATTTGCAATGCTTTTTTTTCTAATTTGCAGGGACTTACTTCCATCAAATCCTCATCTCCGTCTGGTTAGTTAAGCTCTATGTTCTTATTTTCTTTTCGCTAATATGATATAACATTAGAAGATAATAATTAAAAGAATAAGGATTCACTGGGGTCTGAGATACAATCATACAAGGCCAAGTAACCTGCGATAGTTGGACTTGTGGCATATGTCTTTGAGTATGACCTGACTGTAATATTTTGAAAATTTATTGGCCTACAGATTCTAATGAGTGCTACGCTTGATGCTGAGAGATTTTCGGGTTATTTTGGAGGTTGCCCGGTTGTTCGTGTCCCTGGATTCACTTATCCAGTTAATTTCTCTTTTTATCTCTTTCTACAACTTAGTAGCTCTGTTGTGCCCAAGTATAATCTCCATGCTTTGTGTCTGCAGGTGAGAACTTTATTTTTGGAGGATGTTCTCTCGATTCTGAAATCAGGTGGAGATAATCATCTAAGCTCTGGCAACTTGAGTTTACCAGACGAGAAGCTTGATTTAACAGATGAAGATAAACTTGCTTTAGATGAAGCAATCATCTTGGCTTGGACAAATGATGAGTTCGATGCCCTCTTAGATCTAGTTTCTTCTCGCAGAAGTCCCGAGATTTACGACTATCAGCACCAATCAACCATGTTAACACCACTTATGGTATTTGCTGGAAAAGGAAGAATCAGCGATGTATGCATGCTCCTATCATTTGGTGCAGACTGGAATTTAAAATCTAAAGATGGTATGACAGCGTTAGAATTGGCGGAAACAGAGAATCATCTAGAAGCTG